TCCAAATATGAAACAGATGTGTCAGACTTTGGTGTATCTTTTATCTCAAACTTAACGGGATATTGTATCGACATAAAAATTAAAATTGCCTTTGTTTGTTGAGAGTACGTTGTCGAGATATCTAAATATTGAGTTGAAGGCCACATCAAGTATTTTCTTCTTTTCACATATAAGATTTGGGTCACATTCTGCTTCAAATAAATACAAAAATAGGTCTGCTAGGTACGGGTGCAATGGCACTCACTCATTTGGATAGTTGTAAATCCACTCCCAAGCAACAGGAAGCGAAAACCATGAAAGTTACTATTCTTATGTTTTAATTCACTTACAGATGGTCTATGCCATATGGTTAAAATCGGTTTTGTTGTTGATCGATAAAGGTTAGCAATTGGTGAATCAAGTAGCACGTGTGACCTTAAACACAAAAAGAACAAATGTTCTGTAATTCTTAAGATACTACAATTTATTTTCGTTTTTAAGGTTGGACACAATAGATAGGTCAAATGTTTCCTCAAAATCAATTTTTCTGAAACTTTGATATTTTGTTCTAGGATACAAAATCCCTCTTAATATATAATATGAAAGAAATTCAAAAACACACATTTTGCCCACATTGTCTGAAATATGGCCTATCAGACCCCTGTAAGAAGATTGTGAAATCAGACACTCGACTTAAGAATGAGCCTTATTTTAGAATTATCAATTGATCTATTGCAAGTTTGTGTTATAATTTTGATAAAGATAACCTCTTTTTCACTTTAACGTAGTAAGTCATATTGATACCGGACCATTTGAGAAAATTTCAAGTAAAAATAGAACATACATAGCGTCGGAATTGAAAATTCACATGTAAATATCCTACACTTAAAGTTTTCTAAAGAAAAAATGTATAATTCAATTTTTGCAAAAGATTAACAGAATGCTTAAGATGGGTCTCAGAATAAAATATGTAAAAATAAAGAAAATTGAGCCGGTAGTTTCTGATATTTTGGAGATTAAAAAAAATTAAATGGCAAAAAAACTAAAAGATTCAGTAGATGAACGTCACAATATTTGACCTTTGGTCTCTAGATATGACCTTAACCTTTATAGTACACAAAGAACGGAGACTCCTTATATGTATGTCCAAACATCAGCCCTCTACTATTTATTGAACAAAAGTTACACTGAATTTTATATCAGACGGTTACATGCTTGTTTATTGCACTTAGATAGCGTAAACACATTCCAAAATGTAAGCTCCCAAGTGATCAATATATAGGATTCTCTGATTTTTTCACAAAATATGATACAATTATGCCAAAATTTGTTATTTTTCTTACAGGGGTCATTCATTGTTGTCAATATAGTAATATTATTCTTTTTTCCCCAGTATGTTTTAAGAAATTAGTAAAAATAGAATCCAGGGGTGTTTGGTACTACCTTACAACCATTTCTTCTCTCGACAGTTTCGATCAGGACTGATATAACTATTTATTTCAAAGATGTCTTTTTTTTTACTGCAGGCACTTTCATTTTTTTTTTAAAGTTATAGGATTTGAAACAAGTTGAATAATATTATAATGTCGCTTTATAAGGCACTTGAAAACATCGAGTATCATGCAACAGGGTCGTTAAATGTTCAGTTTTTCAAGGAAGTCTTTCTCGCATGCAAGTTTCTTTTTGATGTTTTAAAGAAATTATAAACCGGGAAGTGTTATTTTTCCTGTTTCACACATTTTTTTTGTAAAAATGGAGATTTTGAAATACATAGAATGTAAGTATATAAATTTGTCTATTTCTTTGGATAAAGCTATTGAACCGAATAGAATTTTTATTCAACATTGGTACTTAAGTGATTACTATATACATGATAATTGGGGTAAAGGAAAGATGCAATCGATTTTCAAAAACGGACATTTTTGACTTGGTACATAAATGAATACTGTATACAGTGTTATTTTCGCCCAGTCTTATTTTCGCCCTTACACACTTGCAAACAATTTTGCCCCGTTTTAAATTCGCCCAGTCATAGTTTTGTTGAAGAAATATTACTGTATTCTTTGAATTCACCCCGTTTTAAATTCGCCCAAATGTGGGTAGGGCGAAAGAGGCGAAAATAAACGGGTGGCAAAAATTCCCAGGATACAGTATTTATATTTCCAATTAATTTTCCTTAAGATTCTTTGCAAATAGAAAGACTGTTCATATGCTCATGAACTACAATATATGAGCATGAATATCCCATTGTTACGTCATAGTACCGTACTTTACGTCTAAACTATGGTGCATACTTTTTTGCTTTAAAAATATCAGTTGAATGGCGTAATTCAAGGCAACTTATCAGAAAATAATGTAGATATAAGAAATTAGTTTATTTCTTCAAGATTCATTAGATACAGAAAAACAAAACTAACGCGCTATCTGAAATATTCCAGCTTGAATCGTCGTAGATCATAACCTAATGAATCTTCAAAAAATGAAATTTCTTTAATGAATAACTTGAAATGGTAAATAATAACTGAACTAGAAACATGTCCATTGGACATGAATGCCCCGCCGAAGGTATATTAGTCATGCAACATGGAAATTTGTATTAGTATATGAAATTTGATCAGAATATCTTGAAAAGTGATGCAGTTGAATTCCTTACATTAGTATGTATCAACATATGAAGTTTGACAATAATTTCTTTGAATTGATGTGAAGGTCAAAGGAAATGTCAATGTCAAAGGAAATGCCAAGGTAAAAAATATTGATGCAGTCGATAAGCATTCATCAGTATGTATCAGAATATGACGAGTCATGTTCAGCTTTAAGCTTATTAGTCATACAAATATAGTACAGTACTACAATCAGTACAACAATCATTTGCTATCCCCTTGCAAAGGAGTTCATTGTGAAAATAATAGAAAATAGTCTTGGGTGTCTTGTGTGTCTTGTTTATAGATTTGTACAACGGAAGTTATGTAATTTGCATTGTATTCGATGCCAAACGATAGTTGGATTTATAGATATATTCTTTTGTGTGGAGATACTCCGCTTTGCAGTACCTTTGTTTTCTGTACACCATCCATTAATTTTTTCTTATCTATTATTCATCAGATGTGTCAACCCCGAAAGAAATCCGGACGACACATTGTTTTTGAGAAGTCTGTTAATTTGTTGGCAGATTCTATCGCAAATGAACATCATTCTGAAACTTCATAGGAGTTATATCATCAAACTCATTTGTAGATCATATGAGTCATGATCGAAGAAGCCATGGGAACCAGGGGATCCCCCAATTAAAATAATTTTGCCGAATATCGCAAAATCGGCTTTCTACGGGCCTTTTGAATCACTCAAGTGACCTACTGGTAGATGTATATGGTTTTGTCCATCATCTAGATAAACTGTGCATGAATACATATGTATGATGGACAAGAGTAATTCTTTCAGAACTATGATTATATTTACTCCCGGGTCAGGGTATAGTGTTAGGACAGGTATCTAAAGATCATGGAGGAGTGAGGACTTGGATGTGTTGAAGTTTAAGTGAAAATGCATTATTTCAGTTATTTTTTAACAAATCTTTTTTGTGAATCATTTTTTTGTAAAAGTCATTTTTTAAAATAATTTGAAATAGAATATCTTGTGTTACTGTTGTATTATGTTTCAGAACATTTATTACTGTGACTTACACCGTTAAAAGTCAGTAAGTACTTTTCATATTAAAGAGGTTCCTGTCTGCATAACACGCATTAAGTTTCAAAACTATAGAAACATATTGAAACATATCTTTAATATTTCAGGGCTTCTCTTTTACATAACTTTGCATTGTGGCTGTTTGGCTTATGATATTGACAGGTATGTATACAAAATGGAAATAGGGATTTCAATGGACTTTCACTACATGGATGAAGTTTTTCTTCACCATTAATATTCATGACATTTTGTGGGGTACTGAAGTAAAATCGGGTTTACATGTATTATATAACTAGTACATGTATATATCAGGAGCTTAGTAAATAAAAAAAAGATGAATGTGAGGCAATAGAGGGAAAAATTATACAGATCTGGTCTTTGTTAAAGAAAGTCATTCACCAGTTTATATTCAAAATAAACCTGTCATTTTAAAGGTAATTGTGTGTTTTCTGGTATGATTGTTAGAATATGCTAAATGTGCAGCGATTAGAAAAACATTTGCAGAGATTTTTGTGGCATTAATTAGATTTCCTCAATTTTCATATACTGAGTATGGATATTGGAGATCAAGTTTTATAACCGTAAATTAAAATGAATACACAAAGTAAACAAAGCCGTATGACGAACCATATAGCAGGACTTTGACAAATTCATTGGAAATAAATAAGTGCACAATATACCGGTATGTAAACTTCATGCACAACTGGGAGCATTCCAGTTTATTTTATTATTTCATCATGAACAATTTATTCTAAAAGGCATTTAAGGAAAAATCTACACGAAAACTTTTTTTTAAGTTGATGTTTAAATCTATCTCTTTTGACAAACTGTTCATGATTTTAAGCTTAAATATTTGAAAAATGATGTTTTGCAGTATTTTGCAGAGAAAAAAATTGATTGTGTATCAAGAAGGACATTTTTGGAGCATAAATGTTGTACTAATTGTGAATCAATGTATTGACTAGATACCCTGTCAAGACATTTTAATTTGTAAAAGAAAGATAACTGATATAAAAACAAAACAAACATTCAAACACACATCCACAATCAAAATGAACCATTTCATGTAATCTACAAATACAATCTTTAAAATTAATATATTTAGAGAAACTGAAATTTAAAAAAACTCCAAGAAAATTCCAAAATTTTAGAAAAATTGTTTTGAGACTTGCTTTAAAATTCTGATTGAAATGAAACTGACCCCCCTCCAGCCCTCGCCAATATACTCTTTCTCTGATATCTTTGCTACTAAAAAAACATCTAAGGTAATATTTAATTTATTTTTGTACAAATTTATCTCAATTTAATTTAAGAATCATTATGTTTTACTTTCAAGGGAGGTTTGCCTAGAAAAGGCCCTTGATTTTGCAATAAACAGTAAAGCTTGCAATTTTACTTTAGAAGAAGCCAAAGATTTGCTTGAATCAGGTAATTTTTTTTACTTGACATCGTCTTAAAGTAAAGAATGTTTTAAGAATTAAACAAATATTTAACTAATTAATATCTAATTTCCCTTTTTATTTCAATGAGATAAAATAAGTTGCTTTGTGTGTTTTTTTTTTTAAATCACAACTTGATAAATTTTAATTAAATGATCTGGCTATTATGAGATCTTTTTTTACCATAATGTGTAATGTACATCATCGAAAATATTAAAACAAATTTGAAAATTGGAAAATGGAATGAATTTGAAAATTGATGAAATCCTACGATTATTTTCTATTGTTATAGAGCTTTGATATAGGCATTAATTACATTCGAACTATATCAAAATATATGCTACGTATATACCATACATTCAATAGATCTTGTTTCTTTTTAGTATGCATGTGTATATGCAATCGATCGCTTCTTATTTCGTGAAACATAAGTCAAAGATTTCATGGGTGGCGTTAAAATTAGGAGATTGATATTTTAACATTCACTTTGCAATAAGACAAGAAAATGTTTACTGTTTACTGAAGATTTCTAATTTTTCACAAACCAGTCAATGGTAAAATTGAAGAAACTGATCGTTTTTAAAACTTTTAATATTTTTGTAAACTACTAATTTTTAAATAAATTTTGGATAATTCTTAATGCATTTTTTATCATTTCAGAAACTGGCATTTGTTCTAAAAATGTAGAATAAAAATCAACAATTTGGAAAATGTAGCATTGGATCACAACAAGCATAGAAGTTCTCTCGACTTACGCTTCTATAAACTGACATCGTTTGCACTTAGTTTCAATGGTTTAGGTAAATATTTTACGAGAATCCACAGATGTAGTGCTTATATTGAAAACAGCACCATGGAGATGATTTGTAAACCCGATTTTAAAAATGGTAAGTGTATAAATAGTGGTCCATTAACCGATCATAAAAAATACCCCGGTATATATTTCTTTTAACCGAGAAAAAATAAAATTAAAAACTGCTTTCTATAAAAAAGAGAAAAAAAACTGCATTATATATATGTATATATAATGCAGGTTTTTTTTTCATTGTACACAAGAGCTGTTTTAAATCTTATTTTATTCTTAATCAAATGATAGACGGCCATCATTGAAACTGTTAAAATGTTATTTCTCTAGATTACAAATTTAAATGAAAAGTAATGTTTGAACAACTTAAAATTAAAACTGTGCTGTAAATATGAAATGAAATAATACATTTGAGAGAGAGAGAAAAATCACACTCATTTTGGTAAAACTAGACATTCATATATTCATAAGATATGAGGGAAAACTTATTTTTTATAGGCAACTGAGTTGGCAAAAATATATTCAACAAGTATTTGTATGTGCATTGTGTTTAGATGATTACAGATACATATACGATAATCAATAGATAAATATTGATATTGTTGTCGTTTCTCCTATTATTACTGTTTTTTAACAAGCTACATTTTAATTTCTTAAATACAAACTTAACCAATTTTAACTGTGTTATAATTTTATATCAAGGGCAAATGAATTCGAACATTACCAAACCTTTTTACATAAATCTCTTTTGAAGCACAATTGAAAAACAATTGTCATTTTGATCTATCAAGTACACATGTTCATTCAAAAGATAAAAATTAAATACCACAAACAGCACAGTTAAGGTTACACTTATGAGGCGGGGCCTAATTTATACGGGATATGTTTACTATGACGTTACACAAATATAAGGTCTTCAAAACGCCAAAAAATGAAATTATTTGCTATTTTAAACTGATGGATAGCTCTAGACTTCATAAAAACTTACTATTGCATGCAGTTTTGTTATTTGTTAAATTACAAACAACAAAATATTAATGATTCGAATGCACTTGTCAATATGACGTCATATCACAAAAATGACGCAGTTTGTACACAGTGAGAGGCTGATCAAGTCATATTTTGTTCTCAAATAGAATATTTTTTGCGGCTATGGAAAAGGCCGTTTTCTTGGGCGCGATGTCTTTTTTACTACTTTATTTATATACTGTCCGTATATCCTCCAGACTAGTGATATAACTGTTGTTTCAATGCAGATTTATTAAAAAAGTAATACAAGGGCCCTAATATATTTATTTATTGCAAGAACATACCCTCAATGTATCTTGCCAAGTTTTTACATATAAACACACGAAGCATTTAGATATTTGAAAAGTGCTGCGATTTCTTCATAAAATAAAATAACCATAGCTATTTTTAATGTAGTTGACCAGCAAGTATTCAACTAGTCGTCTAAAAAGTTAAATTTTAGCAATTAAATAATGGATTTTATATAGGTTCGCTGCACTTTTCACAAACTACATACAGTGTTGAAAAGAATTATAAATTAAACTAAGATTTTTAACTTGGTTATGCCCTTGCAATATTGTAATTTATAGATGACCTCTAAACTGCATGTATATTTGCAAAAATTCGTGATACTCCGACATCACGTGACAAGTCTATATTAATAAATCAAAATGTTCTCAACATGTAGAATTGAACCACATTGCATTTCTTTTATACCAGTAATATCCTAAAAAGAATCGCCCATCCTAATAAAGTATGTAATTTTTATCTTGAAAAATCGCCGTGTTACAACGCACTTTGTAAAATTACGCACTTTAAAAATTTTTTTCAAAGTGCGTTAAATTTGGGACCAAATAAACGCACTTTGATTTTTTTTTTTTAAATTCAAAGTGCGTGAATAACGACTATATTAACGTACTTTGAAAAAGATGTGTTTGTTAGATATGCTCGCAAAATTTAGGAACAATAAATAATTGAACCTGTTGGATAACTTTTCGGTGATAACGTAATTTCAGAATGTGAAGGTGAGCGATTTTGATTTTCGATACTTTAAAAATTCTGTCTTTTTTAAACGTGTTATACTTTCGTAATTTTTTTTCCACTTTGCATGCATTTCATGTAAAGAAGGATATGGAGATAACGAACAGTATTCAATCTCAAAGTCCATAAAACAATACAAAATAACAGCAAAGCAAACACGGACCCCCAAAACATCAGAGGTGGGATCAGGTGCCATGGAGGAGTGAGCATCCCCTGCCGACCGGTCACACCCACCGTGTGCACCTTGTCATGATCAGGAAATAACGAAAAAAATCCGTCGTCAATTCAGTTTATAAATAATGGACTAACAATTGGTATGAAAAACGTCAGTCAGCATTTGACTCAATGATAAATTGTATTTGCTGACAAGGTCATTGTATCGACCATAGAACTTACGAAATGATGACTTTAAACGAAACTGCTGATATTCTTGTTTCACCAACTTGTTTGTCATAAATTTTCCTCATTTTAGGAGTTGTTCAAACGTAGGGCGTGCTCTTGCGTATCGAATAAACTGAGATATATATACTCCGTATGCAGGTGATGAAGGTATATTGCTGCAACTACATAATAAATGCATTGAAAATGGGGGCTTACCTTAGGGGTTGGGGTCCACGTTCGATTTGCTACCGACGGCTATTTAGAAAAAAAGAGTTGGGCTAAGAGACCTACTCGTCTTCTCTTTGTTCTTAATTAGGTCAAATCAATGCATGTAAATTAAAAAGTCTAATCTAAGTATAAGTCTAGAATTTTTGTTTTATACATATCTTTTTCAAAGTGCGTTAAATTTCCTTGTGGTAAAAATGTTGATGTACACTATTTTTGATAATTTTTGAGAATGTGTCCTAAATTTAGCGTATTTTGAAAAAAAATTCTAAGTGCGTTGATTTTGTCCCAATTTAACGCACTTTGAATTTTTTTTCAAATTGCGTTGTCACATCGCCGATATTTCCATTTGTAACCTTAACTGTGCTGCGCATTATTCAATTACCAAAATCATATCAATGATAGATTTCGCTCCACATAAGCATGTTCGTGTTTAATTATGAACTATTTTTCAAGCTGTGATATTAAAATTTTTATGTGATGCAATGCAAATGATGATTTAACGACGATGAAGTGCATTAAATAACCTGACAAAAACGCAATCCTCCGAAATTTATCCAGATTATTGTACATGTCCATATCTTAACTTTTCAATCGCTTAGCTTTTACAACTTAAGACAGCTCAGCTGTAAAAAGTAACAGAGTAAGGCAATGCGGAACGAAAACAATTTGAGACAAAGGAAATTCAAAGAAAATGAGATAAATGTTCTTCAAAAAATTTTCACCCATAGTTTGCATTTGCAAAAAATCAGCAAATGTCATCTATACATGCCATAATTTCAATTCTTATTATAAACAACGAATTTTATTTAGCAGTCCACATGTCAAAAGATTTATGTTTATCAACTGCTGATTGTCAGGATGGGTCTAAGACATGTTTGCTATCAACGAAAGGACAAATTGGCGTTTTTAAATGCAAACCTGGGTTTATAGGGATCGAAAACACGTGTCTAAAAGGTAAATATAAACAGCAGCATCTACAATAAATGCAAATATAATTAATACATCGAAAAATATTACAATATATTGTAAATAATTTCATTCATTTTTTAATAACAAAAGACATTTACTCAATCCATTTTCTTTAGAGAATAGTAAAAACTACAGATTTTTGTCTAATTTAAATTTAACAATTGTATTCCTTGTATTCTTAGAAAATGTAAAATTCAATGAAACGTGTCAGCGAAATGAGCAGTGTTCAGTTGTCTTAGGATCGGCTTGTCATAACAATACATGTAGTTGTCGTCAAGGATATGTCCTCTGGAATGATTCGGAATGCATTCGTGTTGGTTCAATTTCATTTTATTGTAATCATGAAATTAATATTTCAATTTTATATATGCAGCTCTAATGCTGCTCATATACGAATTAATAAATGAATATATATTTCAAATATTTTGATTATTTGATTATTTTTTAGTTTATTATTTTTTTTTATACTTTGATTATTTATTAATTTTATTTGGTAAGAAGTGGTCTTGATACAAATGATATCAAAATTTTAAAAAAATGAAATATAAAAATACACGAGTTTTCTGCTAAACTTTATGTTATCCATGTATAACTGTTGGGCCAGTCATTTTTCAAAAATAAATATATATATAATTCACTCAACATCGTTTTATAGATGTTTAATATTTCTAACGGTAATTCATACATGTTAACTCTCCCGATTTAGGCGGGAGTCTACCGCTTTTTCACTCCATCTCCCGCCTACCGATTTAATGCAGAAATCTACCGCTTTTCTACAAAAGCTGCGTCTAAAGTATTTTTGGTTCGCTTGGGTATCCATTTTTGAAGCCACTCTCATAAAATCTCGCTAGATATCGCGTGATTTGACTCGGAATCATACAAACGCTTTTTTTGTACTTAGATTTCAAGCACGGATTTGACAACGACAACAACACAAGACTACCAGTGATTACATTGGTTACGATAAATTAATCAACATCCCTGCCATGAAAAAGGAGATACAGCTTTTAAGAATTAGATGAAAACATTTGACATCGTCTTTAAAAGCACAGAAGCTCACAATTTTATTAATAAAGTCAATAGAAATCACTCGATTGACAAAGCCAAGTGGCACATCTCTACTTTCGTTTTCGATCATCGCGGGAAATCTGATTTATATAACAAAAGATAGGAACTTGTTTTAGATCTAGATTAAACCATTTTATCATTTGTTTTGTTTAAAAACTGAATGAATATTTTGAATTATTGCTTCTAGGCTATATCAGCAAAGATCACTCTTCACAAGGCTAAGTAAAGCAGCCAATCCAAGCAAAGTGATGAGCATGAAAAATATTTGAATTTGTACAATTTATGT